TATTTATAAGTAAAGAACAACGAGGTGTTTGTGGCACTCCTCAATAAATACTTCCTCGATTTTGTACGACACAGAACAGAAACACTTAAAAATTAAGCCAATCCACACGAAAGCATAACAAATAGCTGCTGCGGCTCCCTTACATATGGATAGAAACATCTATATTTTGGAATATTCGTCGGCATGATTAGCTAGCTGTAGTGGCAGTTTTGCTCTCTTTCTGTCTCTTTCTTTACGGCTCCCTTGCGCGTGAATGGGTAACCTCTAGATTTCCCACTTGACTGGTCTGAGCGATTTTGTTTCGGACGAGTGGAAAATTTGGAGATTTTTGCTTGAGGTTGTTGGACTGCCTTTTGATTCAGTTTGACTGGTTTCCGCTGTCGTTTTCGTTCTCTTCTTTGCTGGTTCAGGTGACTTTCAACGTTAAGAATCGGTGTATATCAGTGCTCATCGCCATTGTTTTTCTTCTCTGCATGTGTTTTTTTATTACTTTTCTGGAGAGTGAGGTTGATGATTATCTGGCTAGAGAATTTTAATTATTTTTTAATTGGATTTGTGAGGATTTGTCGGCTCTTTCATTTTGGTTGGTGTTGCTGGCTGGCTATTTGTCTTGCTGTTTCTTGTCTGGTCTTCCTAGTGCTTACTAATAATTTATTCTTTGGCCCCTTTTTTCTAGAAGATTTCAATTCAGTCCTTGCAAACTGAATATTTTTACCATTTTTTTTCTCCTTCTGAAATATATCTTTTCAATGAATTTCACTTGCTTGTGAATTGAGATCTTCATCCAGTTTCTTTTCTCCAAAATGTTCTACACGGAAAACAATTATTCATTTTTATCCCTGTAAAGACAAATTATTTACCTTTCATCCGGTCAACTTAGTATAAAATTCAATTTTTTAAAAGAAAAATTATATCATTCTAACTTTTTTAAAAAAATATTAAAACTATATGTTTTATATTTACTCAAACCAACATTTATCAACTAAGTGATTCATTCAAGACTTGGTCTGGTGATGTGCGGACCAGGTGGAATAACTTTGTCTCCAAGTGTTGGTGCAATAAGGCTATCTGTCGCCTAGCAAGTCAAAAACATACCCTCACCCAGTCGCCCTCGAGTTCTTGGCCCCATGATTGATTTATCCGTCAAACTACTGTGTACACGTGTTTATTATGGGATATTTAAAAGAGCTGATAATAATATTTTATTTAAAAAAATTATTTTCAACATTCATATATCAAGATAATTCAAAAAATAAAAAAATAATTTAAAATTTAAAACTTAAAATTTAAAAAAACATCATTTTAAATGCATTTTATTTTTTCATTTCAAAAATACTTTTGAAAAAATTAAAATTTATTTTTTTCTTTTGCTTCGAATTTAAAAAAAATATTATTTTAATATAATAATATTAAAAATAATTTTTAAATAAAAAATATTTTAAAAAATAATAACAATTTTAAATTTAACCGTCAAACTACCAAATACATTTACTGTTATATATAAGATCTAACTGTCAAACCACTGTATTCACCGCAAAAGAAGAATTAAATGCCTTTACATACATTACGAGCATGGGGTTGTAGATTCGGTCCACACATTCATCAACTTCATTTAACTTTCAATCAGTTTGTAGTGTGATTTTGAGTATTTTTTAATGTTAATATATATATTAATAATATTTTTTATTTTTTAAAAAATATTTTTAATATCAGCATATTAAAATAATAAAAAACATATAAAATATATTTAATTTTAATAAAAAAATTAAAATTTTTATAAATGCAATTTGCACCACGTTCCTAAACATGCTTTTCATCATATTTACAAAGTATTTTATCAGATATATCAAATGACATGAGACTACCTATATTTAATAATAAATATACCTTTAATCAAGCAATTTTGAGTATTTACAGTTTTTTTAAAAAATTTTAAATAAACTATATATATATATATATTCAAACTTGCCATGATTTACAAAATTTATTTTTTAATAATTTTTTAATTCAAACCATAAGTTGTTTCACTGATAACAATGTAAAAAATAAAATCATTAATTATTTACATGGTATTGTTTAATTTTTTTTAACATATGTGTTTAGATTAGCTTATGCATGTCTTAACTAATTTCATGGATCCTAAAGTTAATAACTATGTAAACTTTCAACAACTCTGAAATTTATGAGACTCGAATCGATAATTTTTAGATAACAAATTTAAAACTTGACTAATTATTATTTATATTATAGATGACATGTAGTTTCATAAAAAAAAATATTATGTAATTTTACTTCTCCTTGTAATTTAATCTCCCTATTTTGTTTTTCATATGAAGTATTTTTGGATTGGAAACATTTTGAGATAATAGTCTCAGTGAAATTGTTTGAGAAATTAAACCATGCCTAGCAAAAAAGTTTCTTATATGCCTAAATATTTCATTTTTGTTTCATCTCATTTTTGTACATATATTAGCAAATTTTTTTCTTCACTTGAACAATGTCAATATTTTTATTTTATTATATATAATATTCTTGAATTAATTTATACATGAATAGTAAGTGAGCTACTAACTCAGCTGACAATAATCAAGTGGTAAAGATTTAATTAAAATTTGAACCATATGACTAATATTTTTTTAATCTATATGTAAATATACAATCATTCTCTTAAAAATGATTACTTGTCCATTAGATGGATATTCATGATATTAAAAAAATGCTCTTGAACAGAGAATATTTTTTTTTATCGGGGGTAGTATAATGACTGAAATGATATTAATTAAATCTGTTATGCTTAGTTTTATGGACTTTCACTAATTTTTACTCACTAATTTTCAGGAGTAGTATATGAGTAGAGAATATTCCGGTAAATAGTACTTTCACTCACAAGCAGCTATGGTAAAAATCTTTATTGTTTTAGCTGCGGTTAATGTAATTTTTTCCTTTATCCATGTCAAGCACTGATATTAATATTTTATCAGATATAATAATAATTAAAAAAAACTATAAAACATGTGACGCGCTCGCCAGTGCATGGAAGGTGCCCTCGCTCTTCAGGCGACGGGTACATTGTTTTCTGATAATTAAAAATATTCTTCCATGATATTTTTAAAAGAATTGTCATGTTTTTTTCTTAGTTGTGTCAAGCTTGTTAGTGATGATAGTTCTATTTGTCATCAATAAGGTTTTTTTTTTTCCTCTTGAATTCCTCAAATATTACAGTTTAATGTTTTTTATTATTAATATTTTAACTTTAATTTTAATTTTTTCTTATTAACCCCTTTCCTCCCTTATTTTTCATCATATTCCATCATTTTTTTGTTTAATTAATTTTTATTTTCAATATGATTCTTTAATAAAAAATAAAATTTATTTTAGTTTTAATTTTGATCAACAAATTTTTAATTGATATTTTTTTATTTTAAATTAATTTGTATAATTATTTTTTTTTTCCAAATTAATCTTTCAACATTTCATTAGATGATAATTGAGTTTGTGGTTTTTTTAAATAAAATGCTTCAAAGGGTCACATGTCTGGAAAGCTAACACAAGTTTAATTTTTTTTTTTTACTTATGGTGTTTTCAACTGAATAATTTTTTATTTTTTATTTTTTACTAAGTTATTTAAATTTTATGACTTGAATCCAGAACTAGCTCAAGTTGATACATTTTTTATTCTCTAAATTATAAGTTTGTTATGCTAAATCGTATTAGCTTAATTTTTTTTCTTTATCTTATCTTATTTTATTTTTCTATATTTAATAATAACTGAGTTGTATTATTTATTCTTTTTATAAATTTTTTTTCCTAAGTTGTCGTTGACATTTTTTTTAATATCATCTATTTGATATCATTATTTATTTTTTATCACTCGATTAAAAAATCAATTTATCTATCTTTTATCTCTAACATGAATCGCAATTTTTTTTCCTTTTTAAAATGCTTGTGGGCTCCTTCAATATTATTTTTAACATAATAGAACTTGCGGCTAGTTTATATCCACTCGCTTAACTATTAACTATTAAAAATTGAAGCGCTCTCGTGGTGCATGGACAAGAAAAATTGAGAGATTTAAAGCAATAAATTATATATATTAGACCATATCATGTTCCAGCTGGGTTTAAATTATGCTTCAAAGCCCACGTACACTTTCACTGTAGGCCAGGACATTATATTGTTTTTTAAATTAATATTTCGTAGATATATTAATTCATTAAAAAGGTAGAGAGTCAACGATATAACTTTTGGAAATGAATGTGAAATCTTGTTTTTTTTGTTTTAATGTACTGATATTAAATATTTTTTTAAAAAAATTAAAAAATATTATATATATATATATGTATATATATTTAAATATTTTTAAAAATAATCACTACTACATTTCTAAACATCTTCTTAATAATTAATATTAAATAATTTTTTTAATTATTTTGAAAATATTTCATAAAATATTAATTTATAAACTTGTAGTGTAATCATTTGGGGTAAAGAAACTTTCAATTTTTCATATTTAGAGGTGTGAATTTGGATAGCATGTTTAAAACGTAAATCTTAGTTAATTTTAAAACAGTCTAGGTGCTTAAAATTTATTAACAGTTCAAATTAAATTAGTAAATAAGAGAGCTTTTTATATGATCTTTAAAATAAACTTTAACCATTTCAATTCTAATTTTAATGAAATTCATAGTTCAATGGTAAAATTAATCTTGTCATTGAAAACGTAATTATTCCAGTGTTTTTTAGGAAATTAATTTTCTAATAAGAAATTAATTTTTTATATTTTAAATTATTTTAATATATTAATTTAAAAATAATTTTTTAAAATAAAAATATTATTTTAATACATTTTAATATACAACATATTTCAAAAAGAAATCGAAACCACACTTAAATTTTAATTTAAACAAAATCTTCGCACGACCGTGTTTCCTACCCTGCATCAAAATTTATCGTGACTCTCTTACCCTTCTATTCCAATCATATTACTCTTGTAGTGCCTCGTACTCTCATCTAAAGAGCTTAATACCGACCCGTCGGCAGAAATAGAAAAATCATCTGCATAAGGTTGTGCATCGATTTTTCTCTCTGCGAAGCCCTAAATAAAAATAATCGCAAAGTCAATAATTACGCTCTGTGAGTTTTCTGAGGTATTTCACTGCTAATATTCTTCAATTTGTTGTTGTTGCTGTTGTAGTTGCTGTTTCGTAATTGCAACAAACTACGCACAATCTTTTAATGAAAAAAATATATAATCGCGGAATCTCTTTCTTTATTATTGGTTGAATCCCAATTATGTTAATGTGATTTTGTGTGTTAACTATTTGTTTTATGAATTAAACTTGCTTTCTTTTTTATGGATATTTTTCAATTCTGTTTATTCTTCAAGTTTTCACTGAGACAGGCACTGCCTTTTGTTACAAATTCGTCGAAGTTTTATTTTTTGACATCCTTCCCTAGGGGAAGATAAAAACTATGTTAATTTCATCCTGGGCGTAAATCCCTGTTTTGTTATGTACTTTTTATAATGAAAATTGATGTTTTTTATGGAGAAATTTATGTTCTGATATGGGGTTTTGTATTGCATTGTTGGAGGGAATACAGATTATTGAAGTGTAGTGTCTGTTGGGAGAATAATGTCATCTGTATCGAGTCAGCCGCAATTCCGTCTTACCCAACCGCCATCTAAGGTGTTGCATTTGAGAAACTTGCCATGGGAGTGCACTGAAGAAGAGTTGGTTGAGCTTGGGAAGCCGTTTGGTAATGTTGTTAATACCAAGTGTAATGTTGGACCGAATAGAAATCAAGCTTTCATTGAATTTGTGAGTGTAATTGGTTTTCGTTTCTTGTTGGTTCTTGAGAATTTTTTTGTTATTCTTAATATTGTTTGGTGGTGTTCTTTTAGGCGGATCTGAATCAAGCTATTGCGATGATATCGTATTATGCATCATCCTCAGAGCCTGCTCAAGTTCGAGGGAAGACAGTTTACTTGCAGTATTCTAATAGGCAAGAAATAGTGAACAACAAAACGACAGCTGATGCTGGTGGAAATGTGTTGTTGATTACCATTGAAGGGGCAGATGCACGCCTGGTCAGCATTGATGTCTTGCACCTGGTAAGAAATTTGTAGTTAGAAGAGGTAAAAACGCATTCTCCTGAGGATGTTGTCGATTCTGTTCTTAGGTTGTAGTTTGTCATGCTTTGGATAGCTTTTGTTTGACATGAATTGAATGGATCAGCAGGCCCATGTCAAGGGAATATCTTCGATGGCAGCTTAGTGCTTTGGGAGAAAGAGCGCATGTGTGTTTGTCTCCTTTCTCCTTTCCTTAACACTGCCTCTTTCTTCCCTACTTTTCATCCTCAACTTCCTATTCCTACCATTAAAATAGTTTAGGATGTTGCATATCTTTTCTCCTTTTCCTCCCCACCCTCTACCTTAAATATCTGCATGATCTGTGCTGGTTTAGAGTGTTTTTTTCTGGTTAATGATGCATAGTAGTTTATATTTTTGTGTATTCAGGGGGCGAGTCTTTGATTTATTCATGACTTCTTAAAATCATTTTTGAAAAATTAGGATTTTGTATCAAGTTTTATGCAAGATTCACATTGTTGATTTGTTATCATCAGATGCTAACTATTTATTTTTGTCAAATGGAGGATAATATCACAACTTTTCATAATCTAAGAGAAAGATGCATAGAATGCTAAGTTTTTGTTTATGCTGGCCGATAGAAGCAACAGTTAGTTTCCTTGGATGAAGATTCATAGATCATATGCAAGCATTTTTTTTTTTCTTTTGCATTCAAAGTTATGTGGTACTGGTTTATGGAATGTAGTTATTAATTTGATCCCTTGAACTGTATATTAGTTTGATATTCTGAAGTAAAGCAATTCATTCTTCAAAATGTTGGCACAAAGTGAAGTGGCCAACAACCATGCAAGTTTGCACTTTGTTTTCTATGTACATTTGGTCTTTTACTTTTCTACGTCATTGGTTATTCTTGGGCTTTATTGAGATGGGTATTACTGAGTTTCACAGTAACAGCGCCTGTAGGATTTCCTTAACTTCTCCTTGGAAGTTCTAAAGAATTCTTAGATTCTAATTTTAATTATGATCTCAATGTTATGTAATGCATGCATACATGGCAAAATTGCTGCTTTTCCTGTTTCTATTGTAGAATTTTTATTGTTATTCTTGATATTTTTTTATTGCCAGACAGATTTTGGGTCTTAGTAGCCTTCTTAGCTCGAAGAGTGTTTTGTGCTAATCTAATTCTTAAAAGAAAATTTTCATTTATGCAGGTATTTTCTGCTTTTGGGTTTGTTCATAAGATTACCACCTTTGAGAAGACAGCTGGGTTCCAGGTCTGTATTCTCAAGCTTATAACCAAATTATCATTGTCTTTTGGTTTCAACACAAGCTCATTCTGTGTGTGATCTTTGCAGGCGTTGGTGCAATTCTCTGATGCTGAAACTGCCTCTTCTGCAAAAAATGCCCTGGATGGAAGAAACATCCCTAGGTGACAGTTGTTTAATTGTTGACATGGTATTTAGTCTAACTATTATCGGTGCAAATGAATTAAAAAAAAATAGACACCTGTTCTGCAATTTTAGGTTACTCTCTCCTGGTCTATGTTTACAGAATACTTTAGATGTATTGTCAACTTTTATTAACCTATTTATCTTTGACACACCATTATATCCCCGAGAACAACGTTTCCACTTAAAAGTTGTCAACTTGGGCCAGGAGTGAACATTAAAATGCTTTGTAGATATACCTGTCCTTGTTATATATGCTTTATTTTTGCTTAATGTTTCTCTTAGTTTGAACTGTCAGTGGCTGATGATCTAGTAACTTCTCTCATCCTACGTTTCAGCTATCTGCTTCCTGAACATCTTGGGCCATGTACTCTTAGGATCACATATTCTGCGCATACAGATTTGAGTGTAAAATTCCAGAGCCATCGAAGCAGGTACTTCCTGGGCCTTTTTTCAGTATCTTGGCAGGTGCAATTATTTTACATGCAAGGAGTTTTGCTTCATAAGCAATGTCTTGTTAGTTGCTTCATGTTGTTGTGTAGTTCTTTTTGTCCTCAACACTAAAATTTCATCTCATATTTAATCTGTTCGAAGCTTGTATTCTTCATTATCATCACTGTTTTCCTAATTTTCTGCATTTGAAATTTTGTTGATTCAGGGACTACACCAATGCAAACCTTCCTGTTGCACCATCAGCTATAGATGCAAATGGAATGGTAAGGCACTGTAAATTTCACTTAACACATTCTAAGAAGTGGCAGTCAGTTAATTCCATATAATTGCTAGCCTTGTGAATCTCTCTAAATGTACTTGTGATTTACTTTTGGTGAATTTACGAAGGTTGCAGTGGCACCATTTCCTTATTTTAGCCCAGCCACCCTGTTGCATACCATGGGATTTTACATTTGTGGTTAATCATTTATTGTCCTACTCTTGACATTTCCTTAACATGAGCCCTCTGTCATTGTTTTTATTAAATTCATCCTTGTACTCTAGAACCATTAGGAATCTAGTCTCTCTGTCTACCCCCGTTAGTAAAGGCATCACTTTTCTGTTATCTGAGACCAGTGTCACATAGAGGAAGCACTAAAATAACTAATACCGTCATGATAAATAAATTATATATTTAACGAGGGGAAAAAAGCAAAAAGCAATGCTTTTCAAAAAAAAATTAGACTGCATAAAAAGAATCGTTATAAGAAACAACTGCACGAAAACAAAAAAGACTTGTTTATCCTCATAAACACATACCTTGTTGTTGTCTCTCTACCTCAAATTGCCATCACTGCCTTCTCTCACCTCACTTGATGTGGTCTTTTCATCTTATTGTGCCTATAAGAGATGCCCTCTCCTGGATGCCCTGTTATTTTATTTTTTTACAGCCCTTAGAATCCTAATTCCATGGTATTATAGTACTGTTTTATGCCCTTTGTACATATGGTGTAAGTGATTTTTGAGTCCAAAGTTTTCTTGGGCCAAATTTCTCTTTTACCATGCCTCATATTTCTCTTTTTTCAAACCTATCTGCAAATGCTGTCACATAACTCTCCCTTGATTCTTTTTTTCTCATTTGATTCCAACCCCCCCCCCCCCAAAAAAACAAAAATACCGAGAGAGAAGAAAGGAAGAGAAAAAGAAAGCAAACTAATCAACCTCCCACCCACATGCACAAAAAATTACAGCCACACCTAGGTCAAAATTCAATACAATTATGATATGAGACAATATATACACTCCAAACAAATATGACCACAAGCACTCCCGGTAAACAATGCCTAAGAGTTTTCTCTTTTCAAGCAATGTGGTAGAGCCAAAAATATACAGTTGATTGTAAGCCGTTGACATATATCTACATTTTTTTTTCATTGTTTGTAATAAGCACAGGTTCTTCTTTCTAGTGAAAAAGGGCACTGCAACTTCTGAATAGCACTTGTCACCTATTTTACTTATATTTACATTTAGGCTAACAGGATTCTTATAGCACAGTTCCCACATGAAATGCATTAGGAAAAACAAAAGTTCAAATCTGCTGAGCGAGTAAATGTGGCATCTTGGACAGTGAGTCTAGAAAATAAAATGATGCTGAATTAGACAGAGAGAGAAAAAAAATGAAAAGCAATTTTTTAAGCTGTCAACAACGTTGATTCTAAATTAAAAACAAATTCTCAACCAGTACCAATTCATTTTGGTACGAAAAGTGTTTATTAGAAAGCATAATGAATACCGGATACAAATTATGTCTGCATTAACTGCAAAAGAGAATGAAGCACCCTCAAGCAGTATCCCAGGGTTGGGTAGTCAAGACTCAAGAGCTCAATCATTTTAAGTGATGTAAGTGATAAAAAGAAGCCAAGCAACAATGTTTTTGTGGTGTTTTGATGGCCTAGATTCTGTGGGAACTACTGATAGGGATGGCTGTGGTGTGTACGACAGCAGGCGGTTTATTTTGGGCTGCAATGGTGGTTATTTAGGTTGGGCTGAGGTGGTACACTGGTAGTTGAGGATCTTCGTGTATTTCTATTTACTGAATACATGTTTTAGTTTCTGTCTTATCAACTTACTAAATTTATCTGATTTAATTTCTTTTATTTGGTTATGTTTTCTTTTCTAAATGTATAACTTCTTGTTTCTTTATTTTCCTCTTACTTTATATGTATATATTTTTTTTGTCATTGCTTATCTTTTGATACCTGCCTTAAAACTAACAGAAAGGTAACACTGTTAATAACCAGGGTCGACTGAGGGACTCAATTTCTAACATCCCTTGGGCGGTGTTTTGCTTATTGTCTTGGGATAGAAAAGATGGAGACAATGGAGGCAAAAACTTTTTTGGTTGAAGAGGCAGAGGCAAAATAATTCTGTCTTTGTGATAATTTTAGAGTGAATTCCTGTATTTTCAAAACAAGAAGTATAAGGATACATGTCTTATCTACCCTCACTGTCTCCGTCTTATATCTTTTGATACAGTAACCAAACGCTACCTTGAGTACAAGGATGAAGCTGATAAAAAAAAAATTACGGATCACTTCAAGAAAATTTCAATGAGTCCAAGGATGAAATACACAATTATAAACATCAGATGGCCTTATTTTCATCGTAAGATGCTTGTGTACAACTTTTTCTCTATGCACAGAAGCATATAGTGACAATTTAACCTTGCCATGGTTTTCAGATATAAATATGTTTTTTCAATTCCATGTACTTCTGTTAGCACATGCAGGCGTTGATATCAAAGTTGAAAACTTCAGTTTGACTTTTTTTTTCCACTGCAGTTCAGCATGGGCCTTGATGGGAAAAAACTAGAACCTGAGAGCAATGTTCTTCTTGCATCAATCGAGAACATGCAGTATGCTGTCACATTGGATGTTTTACACATGGTATAAACACTCCTTATAACAGTTGTGGAAATTCCTAGTTCACCAAGCCATCCTCAGTGCTGATATTTTTTTCCTTCAATGCTGTGCTAGGTCTTTTCTTCTTTTGGTCCTGTCCAGAAGATTGCCATGTTTGATAAAAACAGTGGACTTCAGGCTTTAATTCAATATCCTGGTATTGTTCAAATATCTAAATACTTTCGTTAACAGATAAGAGTAATTATCAAGATGTCAAAAAGTGTAATTATCAGGATGTCCCAAATCTTTTTGCTCTTGAAACACCTGTTTATACATGCCTGGGATTTAACAGTTGCATTTCAGAATTTGTTCAGGGAATGTTTCCAACAGCTAACTTTGAGAGTATTTGAGGTTGTGGCTGTGTAGTCATAAAGTAGGTTTGAAGTCACAAAACTGCAATTTTTAAGGTGGTTTGATCACCTTTCTGTAACATGGCATAAATTTGTACCACTATTTTTGAAAACCCAATTTCAAAACATTTTTTTTTCAAGGACATGGTAAATAGTAGAGGTAAGACTTGATGAGTTTCCATGGACGAAACTCAGGTGTTTACCATAATTTTTTTCCCATTACATATTTTTACTAAATATGGATGAAGATTATAGGGAAGAATTGGCATTGGACTATCCCTTCTCTTTTTTGCTAGAGTTGGGGGAAACTGTTCTTCCTTTTCTTCATGATTTTTTTCCAGATTTTGGAATCCAGTATGAGTAGTAAGTTAATAATCTTGAATGCTGCCTTAACGAAGTTGACTTGCAGATTTATTGTTACTCTACACGTAATTCTGAAGATACTAAATTGCTGTTGCCATGGGCTGCAGATGTCCAGACAGCTGTTGTTGCCAAGGAAGCACTGGAAGGACACTGCATCTATGATGGAGGATTTTGCAAACTTCACCTTTCATACTCACGCCATAATGATCTTAGTATTAAGGTAACCAGCTATGCCTTGGGAATATAATTTCGTTTTTGTGCTCGCTATAATAGTGAGCACATTCTTATAAACTCACAGTGCTCTTTTGTCTAATTGTTTTAATCCTTTTGAAAGAGCTGGGAGAAAATCTGATTCTAGACATACACGGAGATGTTTCTTTAAGTCTTTAGTTTAAACAGCACGGGCTGTATTATTCAAAACTTGGTACATTGATTACAGGTCAATAATGATAGGAGCAGAGACTACACCATTCCCAACAATGTAATGGTGAACCCCCAGCCTTCAATTCTAGGGCAGCAGCCAGTTGCAACACATGGTCCTCCTTCTCATCTATACACTGGAGCTCAGTTTGCTCCAACTACAGAGCATTCAATGATTCCTCAGCCGTTTCACTCACTCGCTCACGTCGGACGTGATCACTCTTTTTGTTTGGAGGATCATTCGTTCTTCACTCTCTTGCTCCGCAGGGAGCGCAGCAAGGTAGGTGCATATTATCATATAGAAACAAGCGAAGCGTAGCGATTCGTACTACCGTCAAAGTTTCGCTAACCGGCAGGCAATAGAGCCCGCCGATAGGCGCAAGCAAGCGTAGCGAATCACATAGATAAGCCCCTACCTGCCAGCTCGCGGATAGATAGGGCGAGCGAAGCGCGAAGGGGATGGATGTCTGAGCGGTTGAAAGAGTCGGTCTTGAAAACCGAAGTATTTTTAGGGATACCGGGGGTTCGAATCCCTCTCCATCCGCGAAGTCATCAGTTCTCTCTTGCGTTATCTATAGATAAGAACGAATCGGATCGACTCGACTGATATGATAGATGGAATGGGGAGCTTGTCTTATGATTTAGTTAGAAGTCTCCCTTTCGTTATCTTCTGCTCCCCTTGGGTTTGGGTTGGAGAGGGGGATTTGCTCTTCTAACTGAACACGTTATTAAAGATGAAAAGGAACGAAGTAGCTCAGTTCTTACGCTTTGAAGATTCGATAGGTAGAGTAAAGCATAACGCTAGCCTTCCGTGATCCCAGTCGCATTCGATCTTTCAGAATATCGTAAGGACTCCACTAAGCCCAGGCTATGATCACTTCACACCAAGCCGGCAGCTAGAGGGATAGGGTACGGGTCTTTCTAATGAATTTACATAAATAAGAGAGAGAATAGCTAAGCCTTCTGATGAGCCAAGATCAAAAACTAGAAAGGGCATTTTGGTAGTAAAGAGAGAGCCCCGATCAGTAGATAGAGATGGCCTTTAGCAAGAGGCGTGACCGATAGTCCAAGGCACGGAGTTGCTCGTATAGGGGTTTACGACAGACCTCGAAGAGTAGTGGGTTGTAAACAGATTAGAAAGAGTCTGGGTCTTTGAGACTGACCTTGTCAGGAGAGGGGCGAAGCAGCTCGACCATAGGGGGAGGGGTGGTCACTCGTATAAGTCACAGCCCTCCCTTGGGTCGCCTTCTAAGATCAAAAGCTGGAGAATCCTATGTAGTTCGTTCCCTTACGGCTGAGACTCTGGAATTCAAAACCCTCGCCTGTTGGCTTTCGCTCCCGGCTTCCCTATCGGAAATAGTATTCCAACTCGTTTTCGTACGAACGTGATTTAGTTGCCCAAGCCCTCTTTCTGCTACGAAAAAAAGGCACCTTCTTAAAGGAAAGTCAGTCGAGACCCACCTCTGGACTACGGACGAGCTGCTTTCAGAACCGCTTAAGCAATAGATTTACCACCAAAGTGACAACTGAATTGGGCGACTCGAAACCTGTCTCCAACCCTCATTAAACATTATCCGTCTTTCTATCACTAGTAGGTCCTGGCGAACCTGCTTTTGAAATAGCTCGACCGATAGGGAAAGGGTTACATCCGCGAGAGGGTAAGCGTGTAGGGGGGAAATCACGAAGACGGGCCACACATACTTGGCTTTACGCGATAGGGCACTTTTTTAAGACTTTCACCTTTTGAAGCTCACTTGACAGAGGGGTAGCAGGGGCTTTGGAATCACGCTCTAAAGATAAGGTAATAGTTCCATACAAGGAGCGATAGATAGCTCGACTAGAAGGAAAGGATCTTTGGAATTTCATAATGGATACGAATCAGGTCTTCTTCCCCTCTTATCTTATAAGTAGCTATCCTTATGATGAGCCAAGGAATAGAATGGATCGGTAGGAATGATCAGTTGAAAATGACGCATAAGATAAGTCAAGTTCACCGGCTTTCAAGCCTCTTTGCATGATTCCATGTAACTGATTCGTACGAGGCCTCAAACAGGGGAAAAAGATCTTCGTATATATGTCACTGAAACAATCTGTTCTGTCTCTGTTTTATTTTCGGATTCCGAAGATGAGCCGGCCAATCCTAACATCTTTATCTGAGGAGCCGGTCGACGCAGGGGGACCCAACCTCAGATAAAGATGTCTCCGACGCGACTTTCTCGGCAAGAACAACTTTTTCTATTGTGATTTTTTTGGCAAGAGACAAAAGAGAGATTTTATATCAGTCAAAAGCGGATACCGCCCCCCATGCTCCCACGGTCCGCTTACCGAGGTGCGGAGCGGGCCGGGGCCAGAGCAAGTCACGTTGGGGTATAGAGCCGTAAGCGCGATGGGGGGTTTCAGAGGACGTGCTCGTACGGTTCATAGAAGGGTATGATAGTTGATTGTTGGGAACTTTCACTCCTCTATATTCGAAATATGCCTTTCTAGGAGCATTACGATCTGCAGCTCAAATGGTCTCTTATGAAGTCTCTATTGGTCTTATTCTTATTGTGCGCCTTGTGAGCGCGTTTGGATCCGCGAAGGCAATCGCTCGGATGTTCCCCTAACCCAACCCGGGAACGAACCGGAGGGAACCGCAGCATGGGGAATGTCCGCGTCTCGTCGCAAGGCGTGTTTTGAGTTGTGGGTCATAGGGCGGGCAGCTTTTTCTGATCAAGGGCCGGGGCACAAGGGTCCTGGTACTATCCAGGTGCGAAGAACCCCGGAGGTGACTGCAATGAGCAGAAATCTCACTCACCGGCCTAAACGACGAGCAAACACTCGAACGTGAGAGCAAGGGATCGCCCAACGAATGGACGAACTCCAAGGAGGGAGGCAAAAACCATGCTTTCAGAGAAGTGGCGGTCCGAATCTTATCTGCGAGAATAACTGACTAAGCCGTGCCATAAGGCCCATTCTCCAACTCCAAACGGAACGGGGCCAAGCCTTTAGGTTGTTTAAGGAGGTTGGGTGACAGATCGGCCATAGGAGTACTCCGGGGTATAAACCAGGGCAACAAATGTCGAGCATACGACGATGCCGCCCGTTTTCATTTCATGGAAGTCCCCGGCAGAGGAAAGGGCTGTAGGTGATGACACGCTTTGCTTCTTATCTGGAGAGGGGCGCTGAAATCGTTCGGGTCGTGCGTGGCAGCTAGTATAGATTCATAAGGGCGGGCGGCCGCGGGACCTATTCTCTTAACTGGAGAGGTGGCAAGGCTGAATAGGAAAGGGGCCGACTGATGAGTGCCTTTTTATTTTAGCCTTTAGAACTTTAGAAAAAGGCTCTCATGTGAAGCTAACATGGCTGGCTACATACAAGTATAGCCAAATCAAGATGAGACGGGACGGACGGTCAGAGGCCGCCGCGGGACTACCATAGGAAAGCAAAGCCCGCCCCCGCTAGCTAACATAGAAAGATATTCCCAGATAACAGTAGTCTGTCTCTATGTGAGTCTCTTCCCGACCAGGCCAGGCCGAATCGGGCCACCACGTCGGGATGGGAATGGCTCAGCCCACATGCATCATTTGATGAAAGCACTCCAGTCGCCTCCTCGAAGTGGCTTGTCAACCACGTTTTCCCTCCCTAAAAAGAATGTTCCAAATGCCCTTCCTTGGGCAAGACAGCAATGAGTAGTTCGCTCCAGGACTCCATTCCCTCGAGAGCAGGATGCCGACCGAGATGGAGCTGGGAGCCAACCTAGACTTTCCTGGGGCTTGCCCCAACACCTAAAGAAAAGGTGGGCGCCGAAAAGTACGCAGCCCAGCCTCTTCAAGAAAGCTTTGCTTGGTAGGCGCTGCCTACTCACTCAGACAATGCTCTGAACACGAAAGTGTGCAGCCCCCTTCTCCCGAGTCACAGGTAGCGCCTAGGAAAGCACGGACGAGCCACATGCAGGGAAACTTGCACGTGTGGTTCTGGCCGGGGACTCCGGTATACTGTACTAATATGTGTGGGTCCCCGTAATTCGAGTGAGATTGTCATGGCGCAAAAGCAGATATGGTCTGGTATTCCCTTGTTCCCTGTATTGGTTATGTTCTTCATTTCTTGTCTAGCAGAAACTAATCGAGCTCCGTTTGATCTCCCAGAAGCGGAAGCTGAATCAGTTGCAGGCTATAATGTAGAATATGCGCGGGATGCGATCCTTAATAGTCCACTGTTGGCGGAAGCCAATGTCCCGGGGTCCCGGGGACTCATTCTGACTGAAACAAGGGGTGGGTCTTTACCAATTTCTAAAATATTCGATTTAAGGGAAGCCAAAAAGAGCGCCTAGCGCGAGCTTTATTGAAAGAGGCCCCGTCACTATAGATGGGGCGCCCCTTATTTTATTGAAAACTCAAGGAAAGCTTTTATATGTATTCTTGCGCTCAAGCATGCGATTCGAAGAAAGCAACAAGCGAGAAAAGCCCTTTCTATTCTTGCTTGTTTAGTAAAGTCACGCTTTTCATTTTGTTAGGAGTAGGTGCTATCTGGGGCAGGGCACTCCTCATTCTTCATTCGAAACTAATGAATGTCCGGTCGGGGGTTTCTGCCTTATTATCAAAAAGGGAGTTGGGTAAAGCAAACTCCCTCCTTGGACGAGCACGAGGCTTAGTCAAGTAGAACCGGGTTGCGCTGCTTTATGCTCCGATCGAAAACAAATCAATGGGGCCATGCCGGTACGACTGAATATGCGTTAGAAAGGTCAATCCCTCCCCTACGACACCAAAAAAAACCGGGCCGAACTTCTAACAAGCCCGCCCGCTTACATAGAACAATATCGTGGCAACGTAGACCTAAGTGGTATCATATTGGATCCTTGGGAACCATCACAAGGACGGCCGGCCTATATTTGAACGAGAATGCCGTGTCGTCCAGCGGAGCCTAGAAGAAGGTGACTCGCGCAGACAGCTGACTCTTTTTCAATAGAAAGGAATAGCCAAACCAAGTCAGCTGTCTGGTCAATCTCAGAGATCTTATCGGCCGGCAAACTGGAGATGGACGACCACGATCCCGACCTTACCAGCACCAGAGGTGTACTAATCAATGAACCCCCGAAACCTACTTTTCTGACAAAATCAACCAAGCGTCACGACATGTTGTTGATATTGATTGAGTTTGAGGGACTTTCGCTGACTGAATTCATCCATAAACCCAGACCCCCGTAACCTTCGTAACCAAAGCGTCACGACAACATTCAAAGGCACCTTTTGGATTAAAAAGTAGGGGGGCGGAGGAGCACGTAGGAATGCCGACCACTACTTAAGCCACTTGTGGCTGAGAGAAAGCGAGCCGTCGTATAGGTTGTTCGGAGCGTCGAAGAAGCGAGCCCCTATCAGAGAAAGCCATTGCGCGCTAGCCTAGCTAGCTAGCCTTTTTCAGCTCAGCTGGCTATTATGTTAGTTGTAGCCCGCCTTCCCTCCTTCTCTCATTTCGGAAAGATTTTGCTTTCTTATGATGACCTGGTCGAGGGAGTACGATACATCGGTGTAAAAGATTGAGTGGGACCTGTGAGGTTGGTCACGGGGCAGCTGACCGAAAGGAAAGCGGGTAGGCAATTCCTATTTCATGATTTTTCTTTTTTTTCCGGTATTCCGCTCCACGAGCAGAGCGAATGAACCCAGTGGGCTGTGGTGATGTTAGAATTTGCACCTATTTGTATCTATTTAGTGATCAGTCTGCTAGTTTCTTTGATCTTACTCGGTCTTCCTTTTCTATTTGCTTCCCCTAGTTCGACCTATCCAGAAAAATTGTCGGCCTACGAATGTGGTTTCGACCCTTTCGGTGATGCCAGAAGTCGTTTCGATATACGATTTTATCTTGTTTCCATTTTATTTATTATCTTTGATCTGGAAGTAACCTTTTTCTTTCCTTGGGCAGTCTCTCTCAACAAGATTGATCTGTTTGGATTTTGGTCCATGATGGCCTTTTTATTGATTTTGACGATTGGATTTCTCTATGAATGGAAAAGGGGTGCTTTGGATTGGGAGTAATCACTAGTGATAGGGCATAAGGGGAGAGGACAAGGTCAAGAGCGATGCCTACTTTGTTTTTTCAATCTAGAATGGATACTACTATCCGTATCGAGCTGCTTTACACCCAGAACCATGCCGATTGTTTTTTCATTTTATTTGGTATTATTTTAATAATCTTTTTACTGAAAAATAAAAATTTCAGAAAGGAAACATGGTTGGCACGGTGCCTCCACTTCACGCGGGCCAGGGCCCGCCCAGTCTGGTGCTCCGGAGGACGATGACCCAGAAAAGGTGCGTCTTCGGAAAGACATTCGTAAGGCTCTGGAGAAGCTTCTAAAATTGTTTGCGCTATTGTAGTGGCATGGGGTTCTGTGGTAAGTACGGGGCAGAACTCATTTTCATTTCTTGGGAGCCCGAAGATGAGTTTTCCTATAATATCCGCAAATGCGGATCCGGGGCTTGCTCCGCTTTTTACGGAAATATATGTCTAACGAGGCGTGGAACTCTGCTGACATGAACGCTCACTGGATCCATGACGTAATACGCCGGGATCCCCCATCATCTACATGACTTTTTATACCATCGTCTGGTTTTTGGTGATGGCCTTTTTTATCTTATTCGTATTCTAATCTTCACTTCAGTCTTCTCTGAATTGGAAGAAAAAGAAGTGAGTGAAACGGGAAAAAAAGATGATGAGAAATCCCCCCGGACGTACTCATGGGCAGCGTGAGGAACCGGGTAACCAAAGTCACGATCAGAAAGGTTGACATCCAGACCATGTTTCTGGAAAGCGCTGGTTCGAGCCCAGTTCGTGACAAGGCCTTTTTGGTCATATAGAAGGATAGACGCCCCTCCTTTCTCGTTAGACAGATGACTCCCCTATTTTTTTGCTGGTAAATACGGGATAGGATCGACTCTGGCAGCTGAACTTCTTTGTCTATTTATCTATGGCTCTTGTGCTAGTGCCCATCAATCTCATTCAATCCACCAATCAACGTGTGGTAGCTCCGCCATCTGCAGCGAAGGAAGGATAAGAGCGAACGATTCTTATTCTACTTACAGCCCCTCTATCGAAGCAGAACAAGTAGAAAACGGATGCCCCAGTTTTTGGGGATTCTATTTCGATCCAAACCCGACAACCCACATTTACATTTATATACGAAATTAGAAAGACCCCTTTTTTAGTTTCGTTTTGGCAGACTGAATACCAATCTCGCGTGGGTAAGAAGAAAGCGGTGAAACTAGGCGCTTCATTCAAAAAGGCGCAGAACGGTGCAGGAGTTCCTGGAGCTGGAGGCAGGGACAGCAGAAGGGTGAGATTCTTTCTGAAGCTAGGATGGAGAGGCGGGAGGTGGGAATCGAGCATTACTGGCGGCGAGATCGGAGTAGCACCTGGTTGGGGTAAGGAGATCAATAGCTATGTGCTATGGAAGCGGGGAGGAACTTCTTTTCTAATAGTTGTTTTGTAGATTAGTAGTTTAGATTAGTTGGCCTGCTGAAGACAGACCGAATAGAAAAACAGATGGTTTGATAGTTGCACATTCGCTTAGTGACTGATCCAGTGCCGGGAAGGAGAACCCGATACTAAGGCTCAAGCACTACCTAAGGGTAGGCAACGAAACAAACAGGAGCTTGAAACTCCACTACTAGAGAGTGTTTCCTATAACCAACCTACCTTATTCCTGTAACCAAACCTACTACTTTACACTAGTACTTTTTCTAGTACCAGCACGGGGAGAACCTATACCTCAAACTAGTTCCTATCCCTCTTTGCTTGAAAGACTACTGATTTTGCTAAAGAACTAGCTTGCCCCTGACTAAAGGCTGGGAGATTATCTAGCTATTTAGACTAAGGGGAGAGCTGGTCTTTCTGTTAGAAAGGGTAAACATAGTAGATACCTTTTCCACGTTAGGAAATTTGGAAGAGTAGTACCGATAGCCTTAGTACGAGTTGGACCTTTCTTATTCTTAGTCCTCTTATGACTCTTATACAAGCTAGCTCTCTTATGCGCTTGCCTCGGATTACTGGTAATGTTCTTTAGGCCCTTCTTACTCTGCACTGTCAGATCAAGGGAAGGAATGAGAAGAATAGCCTTTTCCAACTCACTCTTATCCTATTAGTAGAACTGCTAGTCTTCTAAGCCTGTTAGTTATTATGCTAGGTAAAAAGGGGAGCTGGAGAAAGACCAGTTTTTAACTACTGTTAGCATGTTAGCTCGCTAGTAGTACTGATAGAATAGATTAGGGACTTCTTAAATTAGGAAACTCTAAAGTTGGAAGAGCCAAAAAGAAAGAGCCATTCGATGCCAGAACCGGATGTCCTTATGCAATTGGATAGACTGGAAGAGATTATCCTTTTACAAACAAGAGATGCTTGAACTTCAACTAATTCCCCAGCTGCCCTAACCTTTTCTGTCTGTGCTAAGAAACTAAACTCACGCCCTAGCTGCCTTTTACCTAGCGCCTCGCTGAGACTGCTTCACGAGACTGCTAAAAACTAACTTGACTTGCCCCAGCTTGACGACTCCTTTGATTTGCTTACTAAGCCCTAGCTTACTAGAAAGAAAATGGATTTCAATTGCGGCTTGAAAAAAAAAAAAGAATAGAAAAAGAGACCACGAAAGGGCGCCATCTTCGAGACCACGGCTGAATCTTTGTTTAAAAAGGGCCTACAACTTTGACTTTTCTTCTCTTCCTTCTCGTGCTTTTTCTTTTCTAACTATCAAAGAGAATGTGAAAAGAAAAGGGAGTTCGGGGGTACTAAACAAGAGACAGACTCTCCAAAGCACAAGCCGAAGGCATATTTTCTATGGAAAGCAAACACAGGCATCTCAGGCTTGCCCATGCTTACCAGACCGTCACTTACTAAGGCAAGACTTCTTACTCAGCCTAAGGGTAAGGGTTCTCCTAAGACAGAATGCTTTGCTTACTCCCCGGAGAAGAAAGAAAGAGATATTCATTAAACAGATCAGATGAACGACCAAAGTACGATCGACTGAAAGGAGAGGAACGTAGTACCTTTCGCTTTGTAGACTACGCTCTTACCCATAGGTCGAGCCTGGAAAACTGAAACTGGTTTGAAATCCTGCTCTGGTTCTTGCACTTGACTTTTTGTTGGGTTCGTAGTCAAAGGCAGGAAGAACAGACAGAAGAGAAGAAGCTAATGGTACACTTTTTCGTTGGTCGCCTCTTTCAGAGCCTTCAGCTTCGGCAACTAATAACCATAGTTAGTGGCTTCTGGTCTATAGTCACTGATCTCGAGTATGCCCTCCGCCTCTCCTCTTTTTCTTGGGTCTATCACCTCCGCTCACTAATCTCTGTCTCTTTCGTGTCTGTCTTCCGGTTGATGATGAACTTGTTGTCTTCTTAGTCGTAGGTGTAGGTGCTCTTCTCTTATTCGTATGATAAGTATATGTAAGAGTGACTTGAAGACGCAGGCTTTTTATTTTAGGTCTTCTTTCAAATCCTGCCCGGCTTATTTTCGCTAGGCATAATAGTAACCACCTCCCTCCTCACCGAAACTGCGAAGGGACGGTACGTACACAAAATGGCGGCTTACCGCAAGTCCCTTCGGTCTATCTTTCTTTAGCTCTGGTGGGCGTGGTTCTGTAGTTCTTCTGGCCTTTCTTCATGTCGTAGCCTTAGCTTATCGATGGGTCTTGCATTAGATACATATAGCATTTTCTTTGACTCATGCCTTGGGGAGTCACTAAGTCTTCGCTACATGCCTCTAAGCTGGGAAAGGTAAAGAGACTAAAGTTCCAAAAGTAAGGGTGAGTTTACGAACACGACTTCCCTCTCTTAAGCATATCGCTATTAGGACAGCGCTGGGATGAAGGCAGCGGTATCGGATGATTCTCCACTCTACTTTACTTCCCTATCTTGACTTGGAAAGGTAGGAGGTCTCTCTCCCAAACTCTAAAGAGTTTGCGATTTCAACCATAAATGATCAATGGTTAGCAAGAAAGCATGAAAAACAACTAAGCTCCATTCGTACCTGGCTTTATATAAATGACTACTTATAAATTGATAGATCAGAATAGCTATTTTAAATAAATAAAAGGACTAGCTCTACTGACTTTACTGAACTTTTTCCAAGAGCTGGAACTCAGGCTTCTCTCTCTGATCCGCTAGCTTAGCCTACGTAAAGGAAGGTACGAAGTCTTCCCCACCCTAAACTAAAAGAGTGAAGGGAGTACGGAACCGTCAGCCCATCCTAAAAGGATGGATTATCTTATATCTACATAAGTCCTATACTCTATAGCGACTTGGGCACTGACCTCACGAGTCTAACTTGACTTGCTAAGCGAAGCTAGAAGGACTTAGGTGAAGCCCGAAGTCGACGCTTAGGAGTGTGCGTTCCCGATAGTACTAGCCGGAAATAGTCGAAGAGATTCTCTTCGACCGCGGGAGAAAGAATTTGCCTTGGATTCGATGAATATGAGATTATCCTATTCCTAGAGAGAAAATGGAAGAATCTTCTTTCCATACTTTTAATTCATAGCAAAGATCTTTTCTGAAAAGAGAAATTTTCCAGTACAAAAGGGCGCGAATCAATGGCTATGGCTCTAGTACCTAACCCTAGAAAAAGGCCATTCAATATCAGAATCCGGTCTAAAAGAGCCGATCTTCACCCCTATTTCATGTTCCATCCCTGACCCAGCCGACAAATCACGTTAGCCCGAACCCGCTTTGGTTCATTAAGATTGTTGACCCAAACCTATAACTGGTCCTGGTGCAGTTGCGTAATGGAGACTAGCGGCACTCGATGGGCAAGTTCGGAACCGACGTTAATGATGTGAAGAAAGACACAAAGCAGAGATCAAAAAGTCCTACCTAACCTATAGGTAGAGGTAGGGGCCGATATGGGAGGGGAGGGAGGTGCATTCCTAACCTGGGTTCACGCTACGAATTCCAATTACCCACTTGTCGGAGGCTGGCGGAGCCCACTGATCTGTTGATGGGTCACAGAGCGGATTCCACGCCCGGAACCGTCAGACTAGCATGGAATAGAGCCATGATGCAGTCCTGTCAATGGGGTTGGTGATTCCGTCCCTGACGGGTGGCCTTTGAAGGAATGTTGTAACTAACCGTTTAAGATTTGTAAGAAAAAGCCCTTCTTTCAATTGGTCAACCTAGACCGGATTATCCGATCTGAGATTTAGAGAGGGCCCTACCCTAATGTGGCATTCTTGTAAGGGCTTTCTGATAACCTTCCACACTATAGTTGCGAACCGATCACAAGGTGGATTATTCTATGTCAATCGCTGTCTTTAGCGTATACGATGTTGGTTCTCCTTCGCGATGTCTCATTCTTAGATTTTTACTATTAGCTATAATAGTGCGAGAGAAGGCCTATTCAGGGAATCCGTTTTCGTCCATGTAGCTAAATGGCATGTTGAAAGCCGAACTAAACCTAGTCTTTCACTATGGCCGATTTGCCACTCACGATAAGCGTCCCAATCAACGAGATTCTAATAAGAACCGGTTTGACCTGCTTGTTCGCTAAAGCCCGTCACGTCAGGCTAGCGATCTTTTTTCAAGAGATGAGCGGTATGGTATGGTATAAGGCTCGACTTCTTGCACCTTCTAACATCTCTTAGCAAAGACAAGACCCTCACCCCGGGCTTGTACCATGTCTCCCGAACAATCTCAGTACATATGGCGCAAGACGATTCCACATATCGAGGTCGGAATGGGATCGGGTGTTTTCACGTCTTACCGTAGTGCCCGGTTTGTCTTGTTTCCCGATTGATGAACAAGAAGGAAAATGGAACTATTGGATTTTGTGACTCGCCCCCGGCTACGTGTCCTCTTGACCCTTCGCCCGCCCGCCGCCAGTGGAAGCAAGCTAGCCTCCTGGTTGCCCCTTTCTTTCCCCTTTTCAAAATAATAAGGTAAGCATTCAAGCCCAGCAAGAAAAGGCCCGTCACTATAGATAGGCTAACGCGCCTTGTATTTCTTATCTTAGAAAAGCAACCTTTCGCGCAGCTCAAGCTTACTTACTAAGCAAGCGTAGGCTTGGGCTCGAAAGCAACAAGAAACGGATGTTGCAACTTGCGCGAAAGCCGTTGCTCCTTTTCATAGAAAAGAGCAAGCTACCTTAGCGCATCCGTTTTCTTGCTTGCTTGTTAGCGCTCACGTTTGATTGTATTTAGGCTTTTAGAAAGCACCGGGCTTTTCCCAACTTAGGTTAGGTTTAGGCTGACGCCCCTAATTAGTCATGATTTGAAGAAAGCTGAAAAACACGCTACTAGCGCGGCTCGCTTCGCTTTTGTTGCGGAGCTCGCTGCTTTTCATTTTGTTAGGAGTAGGTGCTTGCCCTTAGTTGGTTGGGGGAAGAGGGATTTTCCAAAGGATTCAGATTCAATCCAGCCACAGGTTCCCCTACGGCTACCTTGTTACGACTTCACCCCAGTCGAAGACCCCACCGTGGTATGCGCCAATAAGACCACCAAAAGCCTTTGTAGCACTAGTGGTACACAGAAGTCATGGGTGATCATTGGTCCGATGCTTTGGGCGAAACCAATTCCCAGGGTGTGACGGGCGGTGTGTACAGGGCCCGGGTACATATTCACCGCGGCATGCTGATCCGCGATTACTAGCGATTCCAACTTCATGTTCCCGAGTTGCAGAGAACAATCCGAACTGAGGCAATCTTTCCGGATTCGCTCCGCCTTACAGCCTTGCTTCCCATTGTAATTGCCATTGTAGCACGTGTGTGGCCCAGCCCATAAGGGCCATGCGGACTTGACGTCATCCCCACCTTCCTCCAGTATATCACTGGCAGTCCCTCGTGAGTGCGGCACGCACCTTTTTCTTTCTTTCGGAGCCGTTTTGGCGGGGCGTACTAAACCCACTACGTACCACACCACCGGGCGGCTCGCCTGAATGCCGAGTCTTTCTCCGCCGCCAACTCGACGTCGTCGTCACCTGCAAGCCATGGGAATCTTGCTATCCCGATGAAAGCTCAAGAAAAGAGCACTCTTGTAACTGGCAAACCATTAATTCTCTATCTTTTTCTAGATGTCTTCGTCACATTGAGTAACCCTTAAAACTAACAAATCCAAAGACATCATTCAAAGCTTGCAAAAACACTTCCCCCTCCTGACAAATCCAAAGACAGGAGTTTGAAGGAGACATGCCAGCAGCTTATAGAACCTTCGCCATTGATTTCTAGAACCAGAACTTACTTCAGTTATCAATAACTACATAAAAAGCCAATTTTATCTCTCCATTCCCTCTCTCAACGATTCAGCTTTTAATTTCTCGCAACCCCTTCTGGGATTTGATTATGCCACGCCACTTTGGACAAGCCAAAACACAGTTGCTCATATGATGTAGAATACTCACCATCTCTTTCCTTGCTCACATTTTGCTCAGAAGATGACAAGAAGCTTGTCAATTAATGTGTAGTGAGTTCACAGACCAATTCAAAACTGACCAAACACTAGGGAAATGGTCTAGAAATAAACATGATCGTCAAATAATCAACACAGATGAGGTAGGAGAGCATTTCTTTCTTAAAATCAGGGTCTGGATACATGGAGAGACGAGACAGGCCCTCCATCGGAAATAACTTCCTTGATTCTTGCATCGTCACATTTTTCAAGCAACGAGAACATATATTTGGGGAAGAGAACTGTCTGTAAAGATTTTGGGCCCAAGATGGACATGAGTACCTGATAAAATGCAAGAAACATTTTAAGCACAGAACTAAACTGAAAATCTGAAAAGAGTGAAAAACCAACCATCTGCAGAAACGTGTTTTGTGGACAGAACACCAGACCGATAAGAAATTAGGGTTTAAAGGATAGATTAGTGGGTGGATTAAAATAATTGAACATGATTAAACAAATTATGGTGCTTCCTTAGTTTCGATTTGAGGTTTTTGTTTTTCAAGTTTTTTTTAAAAAGACATGACTAATTCTTTTCAATTAAAAAAACATTAACTTTTTTACATTAAAAAAATTAATTTTAACAGTGGGATTGGAGAGGCCATAGTCTAGCTCTAATATCAAACAGTGACAACAAATTACTCTAATGACTTGAATATTATGCGCAGAAGAATTAAAGAGTGTGTTTGTTTTAGAGTTGTGATCAATTTTTCAAAATGTTTTTAATTTAAAAAAATTAAATAAATGCTCTTACATGATTTTCACATTAAACAAATTTGACCTCCAAAAAAGCAAATCATGGGAAAAAATGGCAATGCAAAATTGATGTGATATAATTAGAGGGGGTAAAAAAAAAAATTCATCCCTGATCCCTGGAGATAGTTTGAGTTCCAACGTCCAAGGTCAACCCAAAGTGAAAAAAGAGACCAAACTAATCATAAGTAAAAGTAGAAAAGATTGCAGTCACACAAAAAGACGGCGTCAATTTCAGTCAAAATCCAATTCCAAGCTCAGAGATAAGATAACTTTCCTTCCTTTCCTTTCCTTTGTGGTTCTCAAAACTTCCCCCTCTCTCTTCAAAACCATAGAGAGGGAACCCATATTTTTTTTCTTTGATATAGATTTATTCATAAACCCTAAAAGTTTCATCGTTATCAACAACAATGGCTATCACTTTACAAGCTACCCTTCTTTGCAGACCTTCATTCTCTCTCTATTCTCCTTCAAAACGACGCAGCTTTCACCACCCCATCAACTCCTCTCTTTCTCTCTCTAAAACCCCATCTTCTCCTTCTTTATACCTCCGACTCCGCCCTTTCTTAATACCTTGTACATTGCACCCTGACAATGCTGACCCTGTTTCGGAAACAGTCCCTCCGATTTCAAATTCCGATAAAACACTAGAGGTGGTGGATGTAGTGGAGAGCAATGAGAGTGGAAAGCAGGAGGAGGAAGGGCAGGGAGGTAACTTAGCGGAGGAGAAAGAAGGTGGTGGTGGGGTTTATGATAGTAATGGGAGAATAAGAGTGGCGGTGTTTTTAATGGGGTTATGGACTAAAATAAAAAATGGGTTTCAGAAATTGTTCATGTTAATGGGTTCTTATTCTTCTAATTGGTTTAGTTTTAGTTGGTGGCCATTTTGGAAACAAGAGAAGAAATTAGAGAAATTGATTGCTGAAGCTGAAGCCCATCCTAAAGATGCTGAAAAACAGACTGCTCTTTTAGTTGAGCTTAATAAGCACAGGTTTGGCCTTAGACTTTGATAATTTTGTGTGGGTTTGTTTTGGTTTGGTGATTTGAAGTTAAAGTTTTCAGCTTTGGTTTCTGTTTGTTTTACGGGAGATTGATAAAGGAAATGAATTTGATTGGTTTTTGTTGAAGTTATGAGCTTTAATATGTTTGGTTTCTGAGAAATTGGTAAAGGAATTGAACTTTGTGGTGTTTGTTATATTTTCGACTTTGCTATGTTATTTGCTCGGTGAATGAGAAATTGGTTAATTCACAATTAAAATTACTGGGTTTTTTTTCCTCTGGGGTTTCGAATTTTATCTGTATGGTTTAATTAAAATTACTGGTTTTTTTTTTTTCTCTGGGGTTTCGAATTTTATCTGTATGGTTTATGAGAAATTTATAGAAGAAATGAATTTTATGGGCTGTTTGTTTAAAGTTTTAAGAGTACTTTTTTGGTTAAATATACTTTCTTCTTTTTGGATTCTTAGAAATTGATTAAGGAACATGTTAGGCCCTTTCTTGTTAAATTTTAAGCCTTCTGTTTTTAGTTTAGTGTTTGTGTGATTGTTGAAAAATAGGTATGAAAAGTGAATTTGATTGTCTGTCTTTGATTTGCTGATTTTTTTTAATTTTGTTTTTTTGGCAGTCCTGAGTCTGTGATTAAGAGGTTTGAACAAAGAGACCATGCAGTGGATAGCAAAGGAGTTGCTGAGTATCTTAGAGCTCTTGTGGTTACTAATTCTATTGCAGATTATCTTCCTGATGAACAATCTGGAAAGCCTTCCAGTCTTCCTGCTTTGGTAGATTAAAGCACATGTTTGTTTGTCGTTCCATTAGTTGGATATGAGATGTTTGATGCTGCAGTTTTCTGCACTATATTTGATCGATTAATGTTTAATCTGTAGTTGCAAGAATTGAAGCAGCGTGCATCAGGGGACACAGATAAGCAATTTATGAACCCTGGCATATCTGAAAAGCAGCCATTGCATGTGGTGATGGTAAGAGTTAACTGTAAAAATGATTGTGCTGGCAACCTTGTATATGGAGCAAGGTGGTTTAATACTTTCTGCTTTTGAGTTTAGAAGATAAATGTGAATAACTTGTTGTTTTTCTTTCTTATTTTCCTGTTGGTTTTTGGCAGGTTGATCCAAAAGTATCCAACAAGTCACGGTTTGCTCAAGAGCTTATATCCACTATCTTGTTCACTGTTGCAGTTGGATTAGTTTGGTACGAGGTCTTGCATTTCCTCTGTGCACTTTGTTTCACCATTCCCATCTCTATTTCTCTACCTTTCGGATACGGAATTCATTTTTCAGGATAATGGGTGCTGCTGCGCTTCAAAAGTATATAGGGAGTCTGGGTGGAATAGGAGCTTCTGGAGTTGGCTCAAGTTCTTCTTATACTCCAAAAGAGCTGAATAAAGAAGTTATGCCAGAGAAAGTGAGTTTTGAACATTTTGTGCTTGAAGTATTTGAGGGTGTTTTTTAGAATCCTGCTACCTTCAGTTACACGATAGCTTCTTCTTTTTTTTGTATATCTTTAAGGGGTGGATAGTAGATCAATAGAATTTGTTTAACTTGTTGGATGTGTTCCTGTTCCTGTGTCTCTTAGCAAGGGAGATAAAGCAAGATTAGATGCATCAAGCTGGAATAGTAGGGAAGAAAAATAGGAACTTTGGTTTAGTGGTGAAACTTTTATCGCAGACCAACACTTACTTGATTGGAGAATTTCGCAGACCAACACTTACTTGATTGGAGAAATTATATCTTGGAAAGCCATATTCATTTATTGTATATCACTCTTGTGTTTAACATATAATGGTTGGTCTTAAATTTTATTTGCAGAATGTTAAAACCTTTAAGGATGTTAAAGGTTGTGACGATGCAAAACAAGAGCTTGAGGAAGTAGTGGAGTATCTAAAAAACCCAACGAAATTTACTCGCCTTGGTGGGAAGTTGCCAAAGGTTTGTGCAAAATATTTTTTGTTATCATATGTACCGTGTGGTTTCATGTACTTTGTATGAACCCTATAGCGTGGAATATACTAGTCATAGTTCATATATTGGCCTAGAATGATAGGTTTTGTGTTCCAATTGTCATGAATAAGTTCAATCATTTACCTTTCTGTTTCTATTCAGCATTCACACTCATTTCTGTACATGGGAGAAATAAATTACTATTATCTTGTCTTCTTGTTGTCCTTTTCTCTATCTGTAAAAAACTCATTACCGTATCTTTTCTTGTTGTACTTTTCTCTATCTGTAAAAAACTCATTACCAGAGACGTTTTACTTCGTAACTTGAATTCCTGCTTTTATTTATGCTAGCTTGTTTCTGAAAACATGAGTTTAACAACATTCCAATGCAGGGAATTCTTTTGACTGGAGCCCCTGGTACAGGAAAAACATTGCTTGCCAAGGTAACTTTTACTTGTATATTTTTAAGATGGGTTTTTGACTTGTGCATTTCTTGTCCTTTGATACTTGATACTTTGTCTTTAGCTGTTGACCGCTTTTATTTTCTGTTATTGAGCTTCTATCTTTGAAGCTTGTGATGAATAAATAGCAACCCTTGTGTCATTTGATCATAAATATCAAAATGACGTGTTGAGAGAAAGTATAGATTCTTTTGGATGCTCGCTGGAACAAATCAACCTTGTCATTTCCTATGTTCAAGATTGTAGTTTACAAAATGTCCTATTGGATGCTCATCCTTTTTTGAATTTATGGTCTCGAGTACTAGTCATCTATGCTTATATTCTTGTACTTCTTCTGATAATTGTATAATCTTGAAACTCAAGGCCATTGCTGGAGAAGCTGGAGTGCCTTTTTTCTATAGAGCGGGATCTGAATTTGAGGAAATGTGAGTCATCTTTTACCTTATATAGATTACCTCATTTACTTGTAATATTAAAAAGAGAATTTACATAGTATCTTATGCCAATGCTGTTTTTTCTTTGGGAAAACAATGTAGCCAAGTTCTTTTATGCTCCAATTATCAATGGTAAATTTTTTAAGTGGAAGAACAAATTTAAATTTTTTACTGCTGATTAATTTCTGGTAGAAGTGGAGAATATGATAGCTATCGTACTTGGCAGCAAGAATTAAGAAAAGATGCAGTAGGGTGCTGGTGAGATGACCCTGCCATGTTCACCGACTGTTGTCTGTTGAGTAGCACTCTATGATGTTTGAGTAGCTGATGCATGTCTAGAAACAGCTAGAGATGAGTTGGTTCTTTCACTTGGTTGTGCTTGGTAGCAGTCAGTGAAGCGCTGAAGAAATTGCTGGTGGAAAGAACAAGAAAGAAGTGATTTGGCTTGTATTTTTGAGAAAAGCTGCAGCTTCAACATGTTAAGTTGCAGAAGAAGTTGCTGGTGTAGAGGATGAAGTGACAATGATTCGGCCATGTATTTACGAGTAAAGGCTGCAGGGAAGCTGCAGAGTCTGCTTTTTAATGCATAAAATTGAGTGATGATATTGGGGTAAACTGCCATGCCATCATGGTACTTTGATTCTCCTGGAGCACCTAATGGCTGATCCAACAATAAAGTGGCCACAGCATTCTGGCAACGTTTTAAATGGAACAATTGTATCAAGTATGGATGGTTTCTTGGACAGGAAGGCTGCTGGATTGTGGCAAAGATTGTTTGCATTTGTTAGGGTGTTTTGCATGATCTGGATGAGGGTTTAACAATTTTTGTTGGTGTCTTTTGTGGGTTTGAGAAGGTATATAGATTACAAGATTTTAGGAAATGTGCTGTTACTGCAATATCTTCGTACATTTGGATGGAGATGGGTGCAAGGTTTTCTGATGATCTTCATATTGAAGCAGTTGTTGGGGGATTGGATAGTCTTTTTGGTACCTCTCTAGTGGATGGATATACAATGGGATTGGAGTGCTTTGTTACTTTGAACTAGATTGTTGTTTCTTTTCACCTTTTGGAAGGATGTCTAATTCTCGTATTTTTGCTATTGAAACTCCATCTTCTAATAAGATTAAGCTTGCTTTAAGGAGTAATCCCATCCTTCAGCATTCTCATATTAAAAAAAAAAAGAGTCTCATCTTACTTTTTGTACTGCAGGTTTGTTGGAGTTGGTGCTCGGCGTGTAAGATCCTTATTTCAAGCAGCTAAGAAAAAGGTTTGTTGTTCTGTGATGTTTTTTGGCAGTCCAGTAGGGGAGAAACAAACAAAAGCAGAGAGAAAATTTTAAAATCATCTAGGCAGCCATTTGTAGGACTTCTTCTCTTTTGGCTGAACAAATATGCACTTCTGTACATGACATTGCATTATGTTTCTTTTATGTTTTCATGATTTCCTAGACGTACAAAATGGGTCTTCAACAGGCACAGACAACTCTCAGGGCATTTTCTTGAAATAAAGGAGTTCTTGTTATGATATTGGAGATCTGTGCACAAAGAATGTGTATAAAAATTGGTGTTATCCTTTTCCCTGTCTGCTTGTCAGCTAACTGTGAATAATCTATAGGAATATAGAAATATACAAATTGTCTGCTTTGGTTTAATGAAATTTATAGCTAGCTGTATAATGCTAAAAAAAAAGAAAAAAAAAGAAGAGTCTATAATTCATTAGGAATATGTTAGTTTCTAAGAGAATCATCTATACCTCGACTTTAATTACATCCATGATTGAAACTTTGTGAAATCTGAGCTGTATAGTGATGCCTTAATGCTGTGCTTTTCCTTTTTATTGTATGATTAACACCATTTTTCATTTTGTAGGCTCCTTGTATCATTTTTATTGATGAAATTGACGCTGTTGGGTCAACAAGGAAACAATGGGAAGGCCATACAAAGAAGACATTGCATCAACTACTTGTTGAAATGGATGGTTTTGAACAAAATGAGGTATCTATAGATAAGCTTGTAATATAATGTGTCTCTTCACTGCCACCTTTCTAACCATGTTAATTTTTCCTCTGCAGGGAATAATATTGATGGCTGCAACAAACTTGCCTGATATTCTTGATCCAGCTTTGACTAGGCCTGGTAGATTTGACCGGCATGTATGTTATATTATTCTCTATTATTTCTTGGCGCTTTGAAAGTTAAAATGACATTGTGTTATAAGGTGAATATGTTTTACTGAATCATCAAACTTGTGGTTCTACTTGTAAATTCTACTTTCTAGGTTATAGAGTTTAAGGATGAGTTTCCATAAATGGTTTCGCTCAAATAAATACATGAATGATTGGACAAATCCAGAGTGTCTGTCTATGTGCTTATATGTCATCTATTTTTTATATGAATTAATATCTTTGGTGATATGACTGACAAGAACTCTTTTTAGATTGTTGTTCCAAATCCTGATGCTAAAGGCCGACAAGAGATTTTGGAGCTCTACCTGGAAGATAAGCCTATGGCTGATGATGTAGATGTTAAAACAATTGCTCGTGGCACACCAGGCTTCAATGGAGCTGGTGGTTCATTTTATTGAAGCTGCATATTTTGTTTTCTGGCAGAAGTTTATTCAATTCAACCAACAAATTTTTCCATTGCTTCTTGTTTTGCAATCAGATCTCGCAAACTTAGTGAACATTGCCGCTATTAAAGCTGCTGTAGAAGGGGCTGAGAAGTTAACTGCGGCACAATTGGAGTTTGCAAAAGACAGGATACTTATGGGTACTGAGCGCAAAACAATGTTCATTTCTGAAGAGTCAAAGAAGGTAAGTATAAATCAGTCAATAGGCAATCTCTATAGTAGTAGGTTTGGATGATTTCCTTGCATGGTTGACATTTTGCTACATATTCTTGGAACCCATCTTTTTAGTGCTTAATCTATTGGCCTAAGCTTGAACTATCTTGTCTCGTTCTAGTTCCATTTTAAGTCTGTACAGACTTGGGGAGGGGGTTTATTATTAATTTATTATCATATATTGCAAGCAAACGAGATCTCTGCATGCCATGCATAAAGTCTTCAGCAGTTCAGCTTACTTGGAAACATCCAGTTAGATTCATCACTGTTAATTGCTATTCTATTACACGTGTTTCCAGTTAACAGCATATCATGAGAGTGGCCATGCTATTGTAGCTTTCAATACTGAGTGCGCACACCCAATTCACAAGGCAACTATAATGCCCCGTGGGTCTGCTTTAGGAATGGTCACCCAGCTTCCTTCAAGTGATGAGACATCAATTAGCAAAAAGCAGTTATTAGCTCGGCTTGATGTTTGTATGGGAGGAAGAGTTGCGGAAGAGCTCATATTTGGTCAGGACCATGTCACTACCGGAGCAAGTAGTGATCTTCACACAGCTACAGAGCTTGCACAGTATATGGTATGTGTTTGTATGCTAGGGTTGCATTTCCTTTGGTTTATAGAGCTCCCAAACCACAATGAGTAAATTGGTTACATCTAAGTTGGATTCAATCAATTGACACAAAATGCAGTCTAATGCTATCTTCATCTTTCTAAGGTATCAAATTGTGGGATGAGCGATGCAATTGGACCAATACATATTAAAGAAAGACCAAGTTCAGAATTGCAGTCACGTGTTGATGCTGAAGTATGTTTTTGAATGCATGGTCTTGTTTATGGAATTTTTTCTTGTGAATCCCTGGTCATGGTTTTGGAATGATTGTGATTTGTTTGGTCCTTTCTGTAGGTCATGAAACTCCTAAAAGAAGCATATGATCGTGTGAAAGCCTTGCTAAAGAAGGTTTGTTCATATGATTCAGTATTGTTTATGAGGACGCATCAACCACTATCAGGCATTACTTTTTGTTGTTTTTTCCCTTGGTAAAATGTGCACCGGGCACGTTATGTTAGTGGAGCTAAGACAAGAGACTTCAAACGCCCCTAATATTCTCTGTCCAGCTCCTT